ACTCTTTGTGTTATTCTTACACAGTGAGATTCAGATGCCAGTTTTTCAAATGGTATCAATAGGAGGAATGCAGAGAAATCATCCTGTTCAAAGGTGTCACCACGTAAAAGCTGGCTGACAATAATATCTCTTAACACTTTGCTGTTGTACCTTTGGAGCACTGAGGATTTATAGCAGCAGGGAATAAAGGCTGACATTTGACACTAAATACCAACTGGCTGAGGTTTTTTTTCAGCTCCTTTCTACCTTAGAAAACAAATCCAGCCTTCACATAGACTCCGCTACTGGAGCATGAAATACTTGCAGAACTGAAGGCCCAGCGTAAAGCAAGGTGTTTTAGTCAGGTGGTAACTGGGTGCATTCGAAAGATAACGAATATGCCTTGTGGGAATATGGCATTGTAGCACTTTCATCAATAGAAAGCATGCCATAGCCTGAAAGATGATTCCAATACAACAGCTCTGTTAAATTCAGCAGAGCAGAGAGTGAGTGGGATGCTGAAGTGGAAGGGAAAGCCCTGTTCTTTTGGAAGTGAGAGGGCTTGAAAGGGAGCAAAGACAAGATACAATGGGATGTGTGCAGGAGTACAAGATTCTACAAATGAAAGCAAGCAAAGACTGGATTTATTGAAGGATGCAGCTCTGACTTTTGTGTGTGTTTTGGGCTGAGGATGAGGGAAAGAAGAGATTCTACTTTGTAATACTTGGAAAAAGTTTTCCCCCAGTTTTCCCAAGCAGGGCTTTCTCAGCTGCAGCAGCAGCATGAAGCAGCTGAGCAGAGTATCATGTCCATCTCAGGGGCAGAGGAGGAAATGTGAATGGTGGATCAGGAGGGTAGGGGGCTCAAGGATGCACCCTCTGTGAAGGAAAAGGCTCAGGAAAGAAACAAGCCATAGAAGACACGAGATGCAGATGCATTTTAAAGTGAACCAGGAAAACCACGTGCCCAGAATAACTAGCCTTTCTGGCTGGGGATCTTGGGACCAAAGCAGTAGAGGTGAGGTTGAATCTCACCACTCAATTCTCACTAAAACGGAGGACAACAGAGAAGAATCATGACTGAATTTCAATTTTTTGCTTCTGTTTAAAGACATGGATTGTTGATCACCACATCTCTACATCTTCTCAATGATTGCAAAATGTCATTGAGCTACTTAAGACTATTTGCTTGCAAGCAAGATTCATGTTTGACAGTTTATTCTTACCTTCTGTTTATTCCTCACGATAAACTGTTTTCCTCAGCAGAAATGAGCACTGATGTGCTTCTCTTCGGGGCTCACTGATGGAAGGAAAGGACAGAGATTGATAATGTTGCCTAGAAATAGATTTGACTATTGAGTAAAAGACCTGGCTTTGATCTTGTCCTGATGTATCTCTAATTTCCACTTGTCCGAGAGCAGAACAAGGCCAAGCATTTCCAATTCCCTGTGATCATTCTGTAGCAACCTAACAAGCTCTGCCTCATCCCTGTCTCAATCCAGCTGCCTCCTCACAGGTGGCAGTCAGGGCACAGTGATGGAGCTGTTGCCACGGCATTATACAGACCATGGACTGTCATACATTCAGTGAAGAGCCTGGGGGCTTCATGCTGAAATAGATTCAGAAAAAGCAGAGGAAAAGCTTAGGAATATTGCACAGGTTCACAAATAAAAGATATCCCAAAATACTGTCTCATTGCACAAGAGTAAAACCCCTTTATTAAATAAACCATCCCTCCCTACGAGGGATTACATTACTGAAGAAATTAACAACCAGTTGTATCAGTTTTAGTTTGACTTATACCATTGCAAGCAGTTTGGACAGCGAAAGGATAACAGTCATTCCTACTTTCTCTTGTTCTTTTCCACTTTCTGGTTTCCCAAGCAACACTGAGCCTCTGGTTTGTCTCTCGTCTCAGCTAAAGGTGAGCAAAAAGGCAGAATTGAATTTGGAATACAGTTTTGCACATTTCACTCCCTCTTTTTTTTCCTCTTTTTAAGAGTCCAGTCAGCTATGTTTTGAATTAGTCTCCAGAGACTGAATGGTTCTGTTTGGTTTTAATAGAGGTGACTGGACAGGTTTGGGTTTATTTTGTTGTTGGTAAATAGCTTCCTAACCAAAATGAAAACATTTATCCTGCTCAAAATATTTTTTTGTCAGATGCTGACCAAAATGCCTCGCTCAATTTCTTTTCCCATTTTGTCCAAAGAAAACAACCCTATTGCTATTTCTAATGTCATTTTCTATGACAACTCTAGCATATCAGATATGAATGAAACCAATATTTCTTATGCACTTACAAGTTTCTGGCAATTTTGTGTTCATTAGACATCATTATGTTAATATTCTTTTTGTCAGTACATATTTCTCAACAGCAACACGCTATGAGAGAGAGAAGGTTTTTCCTCATCTCAAGCACTGAAAGTGTACCGTCATTTCCATGTTTATTTTTTATTGAGAAGTAAGCAGTGTCTGTTTAGGATCTCTATCAAAAAAATGCTGTATGAACAGCCAGCTAGAATTTATGATAATTATATTGTTACCTATGGCCAGGATGTACTAAACTGTGTCAAACTGCCTTCTTCCCTGTCTGCCTTCCTGCCTCCTTTCCTTTCCTTTCCTTTCCTTTCCTTTCCTTTCCTTTCCTTTCCTTTCCTTTCCTTTCCTTTCCTTTCCTTTCCTTTCCTTTCCTTTCCTTTCCTTTCCTTTCCTTTCCTTTCCTTTCCTTTCCTTTCCTTTCCTTTCCTTCTCCTTCCCTTCCCTTCCCTTCCCTTCCCTTCCCTTCCCTTCCCTTCCCTTCCCTTCCCTTCCCTTCCCTTCCCTTCCCTTCCCTTCCCTTCCCTTCCCTTCCCTTCCCTTCCCTTCCCCTCCCTCCCCTCCTCTCCCCTCCACCTCCACCCTCACCCTCACCTTCACCTTCACCTTCACCTTCACCTTCACCTTCACCTTCACCTTCACCTTCACCTTCACCTTCCTTTTTTAGCCACCGTTTGCTAGGTGACCAGCAGCAGCCTTCCAATGTATCACTGTGCTTCTGGCAATGTTAGCGGATGAGTTGGGTTGTACTTCCTTCCCCAGCTCCCACCTGCCATGGTTGACATGTCCCTGCAAGATGTGCTGTGCTGACATGCCTTGAGCCACGCTAGAGGCTAACTGCTGTCTCGCAAGGCTGCTACCCTGAGTCTCCCAAGTTTCAGGCTGTCAAAGCCATTCCTTAGTTATTGCTCAACCCTGAAAGTGCCCAAAGAAGCCAAATCCCTCTATGGTCCTGGAGGTCTGGAAAGCATCTGGCTACGGATTCATACAAAACTCTTCCGAGGGTTATGTGGGAGTCCTTGGTGTTTCTCAGTGGGTCTGACAGGTGTGTCTGGAAATGTTGAACAAAACCCAATGGCACCAGCCTAGGCTGACTTTGCCTTTCATGCATCAGCCAGGTACTAGTGACTGGGCTCTGAAACTGGGGACTGCCTCCAAGACCCTCACTGAGAGAAGCTGAACATATCTCCCATGTTTCAGCCTACCTGATTACCACAAAGAGGTACTGCTGGAGTCATTGTGTTGGCATGAAGCAACCATTCTCTCCCTGCTGGTTTAGGAGGGCTGATGGCCACACATGGGGCACTCTTGTCCTGCAGGGCCCATTGTGGGTTTGTGGTGGGAAGCCTGTGCTGGGCATTGCTGCAGGTGTGCAGGGCTCATGCTGCTGCTTTTTGGCTTGTGGGCAGCCTCTATGCCCATTCTCTCATGCACTTGGCACTTCAGCAGCAACCCCAGCAGGGCTGGGATGCCCCAGCAACTGCCCTCAACCAACCCATGAGCATAAACCCAGTGTGTTTTCTTCAAAGACCCAAGCCACTCCAGTGGGCACATGCTGACACAGAGCTGCTGCTTCAGTAACAGTGCTCCAGGCTGGAGCATGCTTTAGTTTTAGGTTTCATAGAGTCACAGAATGGTTTGAGTTAGAAGGGACTTTAAAGATCATCTAGTTCTAACACTCCTGCCATGGGCAGGGACACCTTCCACTAGACCAGGTTGCTCAAAGCTCTGTCCAGCCTGACTTGGAACACTTACAGGGATGGGGCATGTGTGTATGAGTCACTCCACTTCGTGGAAGAAGAAGAAAAAAATAATTAAGAGTTTTGCATCGAGATTTATGAAGGCGTCAAAGGGAACAGGACACATCCACTTCCACATTCAGGGGCCTCGACAGGTTTTGCTAAACTAACCAGAAAACACCTTTATAGGCTGTACTTTGCCCGGATGGGCAGGGTGATCCCTGACCCCAGGTTCCTGACTTGGTCCTGGGGCTGACTACGAGGGACCTAACAGGCGTGAAGTGCTGCCGCACCCCGGAAGGGAGACTTGGAGTGAGGAGGCACGAAGGGGAGACTGATGAAGGGGCCTGGGTCGCCGGTCCGGAGGGGGCCGGTGTCCGGCAGGGAGCGCTGGAGAGCGGCGCTGCCGGGGCTGGCAGCTGCGGAGGGGAATCGCGGTGCCGGGAGGGAGAGTGGGTGTCGGGGCGCTGCCCGCAGCGGCGATCCCGGAGCGGGACATCCTCCTTTCCCTCCTCTGCTCTCGGCCGGTGCCCGCGAGTCAAGCGGGAGAAGCAGGGGGAAGGCGGGGCGCGGGTCCGCACGGCAGGAGGGGAGCGGAGCGGAGCGCATCCCCGCAGCAGCCTGCTCTCCGGCCGCCGTTCCCTCGCTTCCTACGTTCGTCCCTCCCTTCCCCGGAGGCGGGGTACGGGGTACCCCGCGGCCGGGGTGTGTGTGGAAATTTACCGGGGTAGTCCGCAGCGCGGCGGCGAGCGATTGAGCGAGAGAGAGGGCTCGGCGGGAGGCGGAGGCAAGGGAGGGAGGGCGGGGAGCGGCGGAGCATCGTCTGGCGGGGAAAGCGAGGTACCAAATGACTGTGAGGAAGGGCGGCAGCCGCCACCGCCGACAGAGGAGCCAGCCGCGGCGCAGCATTGGCAGCATCCCCGGCAGGAGTCCCGAGGCCCGCGGGGGCCCGGCTCCCCCCCGGCCGTCTGGGCGGCTATGTCCGCGGGCGGCAAGCGGCGGGAGGGCCGCGGGGCTTAGGGCACGGGCGACGGCGGGGCTGAGCCGGGCCGGGTCCCCCCAGCCCCGCATGGCGCGGGCCTGATGCCGGAGCGCGGCCCGGCGCCGCGGCGGCGCTGCGGGAGGAGGATGGCGGTGCTGGCGTGGAAGTGGCCACGCACCCGCCTGCCCGTAGGGGCCAGCGCCCTGGGCGTCTTCGTGCTTTGCTGGCTCTACATCTTCCCCGTCTACCGGCTGCCCGACGAGAAGGAGATCGTGCAGGGGGTGCTGCTGCAGCAGGGCAAGGCGTGGAGGAGGAATCACACTGCGGTCGCCCTGTTCAGGTAGCGCTGTGCGCGGCCCAAGGGCAGCCGGGGACGGAGGAGCGGGAGGGCAGGTGACGAGAGCCCTCCCCACCCAGCCGAGCCCCGAACTTTGTATTTTCCCACCCAAGTCTTTGTTGTTTTCCCATCAGGAGAAGGGCAGTCAGGGCCCCTCTTGCCCAGCAAAACTTTTTGGGTGTCTCTGCTTGCGGCAGGGACAAGGGTCTCAGCTCCGAGGATGGAGGGTTGTGTCTCCTCCCAGGGAAATAAACCCACCTTGGATGCCTTTGCCAGGAGGGCTGAGGTTTCGGAGGCTTGCAGGGTTGCCTGCACAATAGCTTTCTAGAGAAAGGCTGCACCGGCAGCCCTTCTGGCCGCTACCGGAGCGGGGTCTCGGAGCCTGCTTCGCCTGCGGGCCGTGACTGCCGGGGGGGAGCTCCTGCAGCTCCCGGGGACCCGCGGGGGAAGGTTTGCGTGGATGTGCATCCCTGCCGACATCTTCGCGCAGCGGAACACTTTGGAAGCTCCGCGTTGGTCCTTGACTCTCTGCGGTTTATTATAGAAACCACGTGAAAAGGCTCTTCTGGGTTTTTTTCCTCCTCTTTTCTTTTGGCATGGCTGGGAAATGGCGATAATCCTGGGAGCCCTTTTCACCTTCCCCAGCCGCACGGGAAAGAAGGAACGTTGCAGTCGGTGCCACAGCTGGTAGCGGTGGAGAGCCGGGTCCCTGCAGCGGGGAGGATTGTTTGAATGACCCTGGCTGAAAAGCGTGTGCTGTGGAAGGAGGTTTGCATCCCCTCGAAAATTTCTCAGTGTGCCTGGGTAAAATGTACACAATTGGAAGAGAAGTCGATTTCCCTCGCTTTCCCAGAAGGAAGCTGGGCTTTCTCTCTGTCCTCTAAGTAACAAATGAAAGATCAGAGTGACTTGTAACCAAATTGCCTGCAAAAAGGCCTCTTTCTTTATTAAATGCCAAAATGAATAATTCTCCAAGGGACTTAGTTTATTCTTTTCTTATTTTTTTCTTATTTTTTCTTATTTTTTATTTTTTTATTTTAAGTGTTGTACACTTAAAAGTGTTGTACAGCTTTATTTGATGTTCTTCAATATTTTTTGTATGCAACTCAACTTGCCTTTGTCGTGAACTGTAGCCGGACCGTGGTTGTTTAGTATCTCATCTGCAGGGATAACAGAAACTTCACGTTTTTTCAAAAGCACTTTCCTCCTTTAGCTCTGAAGCTTGCAGGAAATATAAGCAACGAGAGGTGATAAGCAGGCATGTGTTAATACTGTCTCATTACGTAGGCCTGGTGGAAGTTCTCTCTATAATACAGAGCTAGCAATAAGGTACAGATGCATGATCCTTTTCCTAAAGCAATAACAGTAGAAACTAGGTTGATCTTCTCAGTTACTAATTCATGTTAATCTCATGGTACCACAGATTCACTTTTTGAGGGGTAGATAAATCTAGGTTTTTAAAAAACTAACCCTGATAGGTGATGTAGGAGAGAGTTTGATGTAGTATTTTTCATGTTTGTATACCAAATGTTGTTTGACTATTGACAATGCTGCTGCGGCTTCAGTTTAAAAAACAGTTTTTAGACCATTTCCACCACATGGTTAGTAACAAAAACTCTGCATGGCTTGTCAGCTATTCCACTTGCCCATATGTTTTTCCACTCCCTAAGCAGAGTGATTTAGCTCAGAGATGCTACTGAAGAAAGTCTCTTGCAACAAAAGGAGCTATTGTTTCTTGTATGTGCCTCTTGATGAGTTGGTGAGGCGCTAAATACAATGAGCTTTAAATCAATCTGCTTAAAAAAAATAAAGCTATAAAGAGGAAATGTACATGTGAGAGATGTATTGAGTATGCCATAGTTTTCAAATAACTGTGACATAGGACTTTTGCTTCTCTTCGTATTGGTAGGAGGTTATGAAATTGAAGCTCAGGTAGGTGGCTGTACATTGTCCGGTGATTAGCAGAAACAATCTCCTGCTCTTTGCTGTGGTCCTGCTGTCTCTGTGCAAGAGCACTGTAAAACCTCCAAGTTTCAGTTTCTACTGGAAGCCACCTATGAATGTGAGTCTATTTTATCTGGGAAGGAGGTATAGGGCTTCAGAGAAATCCCACGTGCGGACTTCACAGTAATATGGCTTTCCATAAAAGCCTAATATTAAATGGGATCTAATGTATTATTTCAGACTGGCATTAATTGCCATTCCTGCTTGCTCTTCTGCCACATTCTGGTTGCCAACCTATTTTGGTTTTCCTCAGTTTTGAAGAATAAATTTCAATTTGTCCGTGTTAAAAATCTATATGAGAAAGTGCAAACTTTCACATTACTGCTTTGTGTAATATGATGGCATTTGTAGTACTGTACAGGGGTTTGAATAACCAGGTTTTTGCTAGGCACAGAAAGCATTTGACAGGCTTGTCAAATGGTTTTGACATGTTTTTCATCTCCTATAAACTTGCTGGACTCCTATTGTTGAAGTAGATTATTGTCCCCAAGTAATTAACTTGATAGAAACACACTTTTCAGATCTCATTCCCTGTTTGCCTTCTGTATTGGGATCAAAGACAACTTCACTAAGTAACTTGGTGAGATCAGTAAAAATGTCTGAAGGTAATTTGGGTTCAGCTGAGTGCCGGGAACTCCTCCACCTCCACTGCTCGCTCTTTCTCCTCTGCAGCCAGAAACCTCGTGTAAAGATCTGACCCATGTAAACTCTTGCTTATTCAAGAACCCATACTGTCCTGGTACTTGTGCACCCTTACATGAGGGTTTTGTCTTTGGATATGGATTTGCAGAACTGGTTTTCAAAAATAAAAACCTCTGTAAATAGTCACAGATTGCTGCCTTCGAGGCCTGTTTTGCCTTACTGCAGCTGTGGGAGTAGCAAAATGAGCAGGATTAAGCCTTTGACTCCAGTGTGAGTCTGGGTTAAAAGTGTGCTCACAGCCTTGACTCTGCATATGCAGCTTCCATGAGTAACCGTGGCATGATGTGTGTGCCAAATCCCACTGCCAGTGGAGCAGTGACTGTGCAAGAGCTCTTGGTTCTTAGATGGAAGGGTAGGACCTGGAAAGCCTGAAGATACAACTTACATTATCAAAAGAGCTCTTGCTCCAAATCCTTTCCTTAGTTGATCATAGTTGCCTTTAAAGTCCTCAAATTCTGGGCATTTGGAGGTGAGCACAGTTTACCAGCAAGCTATTTCTATTAGTGTCCTTCAAATTTCAGGTCATTAGTGGTTGAGGGTAGTCAAACTCTCTGCTCTCCTCTCTGACAAAGCTGAATAATGGTCTGTCAGTCAGATGGTAAACGGTTGGATCTTGAACTACAAAGTGGTTGGAATAGGAATGAGATCGTCATTAGAGTCACTAATGGCTAATGTGTCTAATTTACCTGTAGTATAATGGCTTGTCATCCTCTGAGGTGGTTAATATTATTGCACCCTAATTGTTTTTACAGATTGCTTTTTCTTTCTTTCTTTCTTTTTTTTTTTTTTTTTTAAGGGCGTAGAGCTGCTTAAATTATTTAGGCAAAAATGTTGTTTGTTGTTAGTGAAGTAGTAGGGCAAAGGTGGATCTTTTCATCTGCCTTAAAAGCTTCGCACAATCGCAAATCCCAAGTGCCATATGTTTATCTGACACTTCTGCTTCATTTGTTGCCCCGGGTAGATCCTCCTTTAGGGAGTGAGTATGCTTGTGCGGGGCAGTGGGCTTTTGACTGTCAGGACTCCCACTGAAAGGGTTTGAGGGTGACTGGTGACTAGTGATTTCGGTTAGAGGTTCTCCAGGAATAGATGGGACGATCTTGTCAGCAAGGCAACAGAAAGGCTACCTTTGAAATTCAGATTGTGTTCGTGCTTCTGCTGCAGCATTTTTGCGTGATACTGAAAGGTCACCCAGGGCTTCTTCTGGAGGTGGCTTGATTGAAATGATGGCAGGTGTCTCCTGTGAACACACTGTTTGTGACCTGCCTCCAGTCCGGAGCATCTGCTACAACTGAGCTCTGCTTCCCATCTGCTGTCCCCTCTGTCCCTAGTGTCAAACCGGCCACACTTATCTTGGCAGGTGGCTTCTCTACTTTCTTTGTCAGGTTTGATTTCTTGTCCATTTTCCAGGGACAGAGAGGAGAAGCTACTTTCCTGAAATTGCTCAACAGGGTCAGTGACTCAACTGGATGTGCTGGACTGTGGTGCTTGCAGTGTGGATGTGGACACACCGCATGAAGCCTCTTCTACTGCCAGCTTTCATGTGTCTTGCAAGAATAAGGTTCTGTCATTGCTACGTGCCATGCTGGAGGGGGTCTTCCTACTGTAACTGTCTCTGCCAGCTGCTCTCTGCCAGCTGTTAATGTCTGTAGCTAGAGTGCAATCACAAGAGGCACCAAAGAGCACCCCCTTGTGCAAATAACTCTTCTTTCTACATTGTATTAACACAGAACTAGAATTCCAAGTCACTTCCCTGTCTGTTAAGATGAATGCTCTTGCCAAGTCAGCAAGACTTTCTTTAGTTCAAATGGCTTTTATTTCCTTCTCTTTTGATGTGAACATTGCAAATTAGAATCCCTACTGCAGTATTTCAAGGAAAATCTGGGATGAAACTTCACATTGCTCAGGTTGGCTAGATAAGAGTTTTGCCCTACTTGGACAATTTTGTCAGATACTCACTTATCTCTGCTTCTTTCACTGAGACATGTGAAGTGTGGAGTCAGGATTAGAGCTGGGAGATGTTATATTAGATTAGTTCTACCTCTGTGGCCCATGGAGCCCTGTCCTGAAACCACTGGATATGCTCAAATGTTGTTTGCTGGCAGTGGCCAAATCCAGCTAATTTGCTCTCCTGAGTAGGTGTCACTACTGCCTGGCTGTGCATTTAACTTGATTGTTAATGTTTTGAATGAATTTTTTTTTGGTTGGTTTTGCTTCATTAGGGACAACCAGGTATTTGTAATTTGTAGTTACTTGGCATCTCCAGTTGAGATGGGAAGTTTCTTTGGTGAAGAGGTACA